GGTATTCTTTGGCGTCAACCAGACCTGCCTCTTTGTGTAAAGAAACCACGTCAGGGCACTCGAGATAGTAGCAGGATCTGATCACTGAGCGAGTATTACGCGAACCTCCGATACCTGGTTTAAAGTAAGTGTGTATTATAAATATACAATTTCTTTCAACTTTCTTGTTATATGTGTCATTGCATTCATGCCCACAACAGAGTCGAACTTTAAAAGATGCAATGGGAACATTCAGCTATCTCAACACTAAAGCCAACCTTAAAATATCCTTAAACTTTAGGTGTGGTCCACAGAAAGTTTATTCATAATGCGATTTTTTTTTTTGGGGGGGGGGGTGTTATGAGGGAAGGCTTTCCCGGAAAAAAGTTCTACAAAAATAATGCTCGACAATGAAAACTGGTAAAGAAGGGAGCGCAACGATACATGTATATCGACCCCATTTTAAAAATTAAATGAGAGTTCTGTCCAGACATTGTAGTTTAAAACTTATCACTTACTCATCTCCGCAAAGATGGACCCATGTGTGGTGCTCTCTGCGAGGGCCAGTGCGGCACCTGTCTTGGTCTTCACAATGAAGTCCAACCGGAAAGGCATGCTGAGTGGCTTCAGGATGAACTTGAACGTGTGTGGTTCTGCGGCCACGGTGGAGAAAGAGCAAGCTGTTTTACCAAATCAAAATGAAATCTTTCAATCACTTTGCTGTTGTAGTGTATTTTGACTGGAACCAACACGATACAAGAGAGTGTTTCAATCATGCGAAAGGGAAAGAGATCCAAAGCTTGGCCCCCTGCAAATACGCCGACCCTACTCATCAAAAAACTGCTGCCAAAAATGGCATCGAACAGTTTACCTACTACAAGCGTTACTGTGAAGATACGTTCCTCCAAATACTTATACTATTGAGAGTGATTTTTTGTTGTTGAAGTACGAAGTCTTTGGAGATTTTCGAGGTAGAAAGCGATAAATATCAGCTAAAGAAAAACTTACTCCGTTCGAATCGACATTAATGCAACGACGCAGCAAGAAAGTTTGCCCTTGTACCTTAACTTTCACCACAATTGTTCGCTTTACGTGGAATGTACCCCAGGCCTAAATTAATGTTCATTTAGTCTTTTTTAAGGCTATTTTCACTTTTTTGCATTACGGTGTATCTTATTCAAAACACCACAAAACATGTAATAAAACAATTTTTTATTGACAAACATGTCTTTTCAATTTGCTGCGACCTCTTAGGCAATTGCATGGAGTTCATAGCAAAGCTATTTCATTTCAATGACAAAATAGTGTTGGGGAAATATCACTACTTACAGTTGCTCTCATCCAGTTGGTCTTTGTTCAGCCGACATTCATTTCTGAACGCCGCGAATGTCTTGTCACGGAGCGTGGTAAGATCATCGCCGGCTGCAGCCTTGATCATGGCGCTACACATCTCTCCTCGTACAGGTAGTAAAAAGATTGCGATCTCCAACGAGATTTGAAAGAGTACGGCAAAGATTAGACGCCAACCCGTTCGGTGGAACATGCTTTTGTTTAACTCAAAACTCAGCAATCAAATTTAACAAGAATGATCAGGCTTCGGTATTTTGAGGGTAAATGTGCTTGATTTTGTTTTCTACGTTTTGTTTCGTTTCCATGGTTGCTGTATTTTTTTTTGCTGACGTCACGAACGATGAATAAAGAAATTAATAACCATCTAAGAATGGATCGATATTTAATATTATTGAGCACAGTTCAGTACAATGGTGTACCCTGTCGTCTATTCAATATCTTCTTTGTGTTAATTCAAGCAAAAGATTGAGGCCGGCGCGAGCACGGGCATTTTAATTGACTGAGATAGACGTAAAAAGGGAACTTCGTTCTTTGACTTGTTTTTCTCGCTTTCGTTTTAATCGGTTTTCTTTTTAGCATTATTGCATCTCAAATCCGCGTTTTACAATCAAGTACCAAATATAGGCCTAATTATTGAATTATTTAGTTTGTATTCGGTAATTGATGTCACGCACACTTTGTTTATATGATTGTAGGCCTACTTGTGTATTTAAATCAGTGGCCTGACCTATGCGCTTTATGCTTGACCGAGAGAGGACGCATTTTCAGGCCGTGTCAGCACTACTTGGTAACGGCTGGAAATTACAAATGCGTCTATAGACCCGTGTGCTCATGGGTGGCGATCCGAGGGGAGATGGGACAGGTGGACATGTCGTCGCCGGGAACGCCGAGGTTGTCCCGCCCCCAATCATTTTTCCAAGGGCGTATAGATTTTAACCCAATGTACCTAACTTTGCACTGTGTTCTTCACCTCTTTGTGTTATAGTTCTACGATATTGTTTGTATCCTTAATGACAAAAATAGTACATAAGGGGCGTATAAAATGCGCAAAATGAATACGAGTGTATATTGTGTGCGTACATACATTTTTGAACAGCGCCCTCTATATTCTGATAATGTCCAGCCCCAGCCCCCCCCCCCGCACATTTTTTTAATCTACCAAGTTTCTGGTACCTCGTCCCTCACCAACAGCCTCCCTCTTCACTCTGCTACAGATAACCTAACCCCAAAATGCCTCTAAACCTGTTTTCCAGAAATGGGGAAACAAAGTGTGGACGTGGGCAAGTCCACACTTCGGCGCTGCTACCTACATTATGTTGACGTGTTTTGTTCGGAAGTCCACACTGCGTATGTAAGACAAGCTCACTTTTTGATTTTACGGAAGCCAAGTGTCCGGAGAAAAAACCGTGTCTACAATCTAGCACGGATATGCAAGTGCCCTTTTCAAAATGTTTTACCCCCCAATAAAAATGACCTTGCTATTCCCCTGAAGAAGGCCGAATTCGGACGCAGTCTTACTTTGCAACAATATGCCATGAACATCGGCACAATTTCGATTCAGTTATTCGCGCGAGGACGAATCACGATCGTCCGTCGACGCTGGTGAAAGGCACTCCTAATTTGTTTGGTGGTGGTCCCCTTTACACCTCTGCTGCGTCTGTAAAAGGGGACCTGTCTTTGGTGTAAATAAGTCGCACGTAACACATTTCAAGCTGCTATGTTTTTTAATTTGTGGTTGAAGATTATAAAGGAGGAATATAATTTATCTGACGATTTGTTACCCACAGATTTCGTGATTTTTAATAACTAACACAATATTGACAAATACCAAACACAGCACAGAGTAGGTCTGTTTAGTACTGACCTTTCATTAACTAAATTCCAGTCGTATAGTTGTGGATAACCCAGTTGGTTGGCAAACTAGGGTTGATTGTCATTTACATTAAAAACCGAAGTATCATGTTATAGTCAAATACACTAACGATATAAATATTATAGTAGACATTTTCAACAACAAAAAATACATACATTATAATACGATAATTTGGATGTATAAGACAAAAAGCAAATTTGGTAAACACCATTGTTAATTTGAAATATATAAGATGTCGAACATTGTTTTTAAGCAAACAAAAGATATGTTTGTTTTGTATATCTCTTTAAGCCTGAGCATTGTGGCGTGTCAACTTGACATTAATCGTCTTTATTATAGTATATCTCCTTGTATGTCATTGCCTTTAATATACATACAGGTGGATTGTAAGTCTATCGACCATGCTACATTCCATTTGTTTACACACTGGATGATGTGATCAGGTGATGCAAAAAAACTTGGGTAAACTGTTCTCGTTTGCATTGCATGATTTATTCTTGAAATGTGATTGGTGGTGACATAAACATGTTAAATGTGGGCATAATACCATGCAAAAGATGCTCATATGTTTTGCTTACCCGTCGTTTGATTGAAAGTGTGACGTCACATGACACATGGTCTATATACGCTTTAAAACGTGTTACCACCTTTTAAACTAGGGGCGTGTAAGGGGCTTATTTTCGCGACCCTAGCACGAGACAGGTTTGGGCTTTGGTCATCGGTTGAGCGTTTTGAAGACATCGTTTGTACCTGAATGACATCAGTGGTCTGACCTAACGAGAACCGGAGTTTGTGGCCGGTTCGTCATGGATTCAAGATGACTGACTTTAGTCAAGCAGACGATATTTTTGTCTTCATAACGAAAAGGAATCATGTTTTCTTAAATTTTGTAGACGGCAATCAAAGACCAGTTGGAAGTCTATTGTCTTATGGTGAGAAATGTGCCAGATTGTTCTTGTGTTCGGTGAAAATGAATGACACGATAAAAAAGACTGTCTTGTGACAGGATGGAAAAGAGCCTCACCCTACTTTGTTGCTAGTCTTTTGTAATGATTTCCTCCAGTTTCCTTACAGTGTAAATTCATTGAATTAATGTGACACTAATTAATTTGACAATCAGAAAACTCTGATGGTAGGTGTATAGTTATTTCCCTCACGTTTTCTGTCAAAATAATCTCGTTGTGAGCTGTCTTCTCTTCCGAAATAGTTAGCGTATAAAAAAATACATTCAGTTGTCCTAATGTATAGCCTAACTGTAATTTAAGTTTAGTAGGTGATATAAAGAAACAATTACGAAACCTCAAGATTAAACTATAAAAGCAGTACTAAAATTTAAAGGATGCCGATGTTTAAATGAACTTTAATTGATATTTTGATATTTCCCTGATAAGACTTTCAAGGCTTTCTTGATTTAAATCTCATTATCGAGAAGTTTTAAATGTATAATTTGAAGGCTGTTTTATGTTATTTTTGATAATTTAAGCGCCTGTAGTTTTAGCTACGAATTACATTCAAACAATCGAACAATGATTTTAAAAAAGTAAAACAAACACACTTTTTGATTTTACGGAGGCCAAGTTTACGAAGAAACAAACTCGTCTACATTTCAGCACTGTTTTCCTGATTAAAAAAATCTGAAGGGGATAAACCCCCTTGCGAAAATTCCTGGATCCGCCCCTGTGGTGTTCAATTCACGATTCGTTGTGTTTTGTGACTCAATTCCACTTAAGTGAAAAAATTCATACGCAGAATGTTAAGTTTACCAAACATTGTGTAGCAAAACCATCGGTTCTACTTCTCACGCGCAAAATTTGTAAAACACCCAGTCTCCGTTGGCTTTAGCCCATGAAGCGATACCAATACGTACTTGAGTTGCTACTCGCTGGTGATGTGCACCAGCATCCCACTCCAAGAAAGCCTCCTCCTGTCCTCCTTTACCGACCCTCACCACGCCCCCTTTGTACTCGATCCAGAAGGGGCGGTATTCATTGGCGTCAACCAGACCTGCCTCATCGTGAGTAGCAACCGCGTCATGGCACTCGACATTATAGCAGGATCTCACAGCTGAGCGACGATTATTCTGACCTCCGATATCTAGTATAACAAAAAATTGTAAAAACTAAAATGTTCTTTCAGCTTCAAAAGATTACATAAATGTCCACAACCGAATCAACCTTTGATGGATGCAATGGTAACATTCAACTATCTCCACACTAAAACGTACCTTAAAATACCCTTAAATATTTAGGTGTTGTCCAGTGAAAGTTTATTCACAATGCGTTGGTGTAAGTGTTGGGGTTTTTTTTGGGGGGGGGGTGTGAGGGAAAGTTTTCCCGGAATAAAAATCCTGAAAATTGGTCAACAAGGGATCGGAGTTCAACGATTCACCTTCAGCTACTACATTTTAAAAAATACACGAGATTTCTATCCAGAGATTCAGACTAATCACTTACTCATCTCGGCAAAGATGGACCCATGTGTGGTGCTCTCTGCGAGGGCCAGTGAGGCACCTCTCTCGATCTTCACAGCGAAGTCCAACCGGAAAGGCATGCTGAGTGGCTTCAGGATGAACTTGAACGTGGGTGGTTTTGAAGCCACGGTGGAGAAAGAGCAAGCTGTTTTACCGAATCAAAATCAAATCATTCAATCACTTAGCTGGCGTAGTATATCTCGATTGGTACCAAGACGAGACGAGAGTGTGGTGCAATCATACGAGAGTTAAAGAGTACCTAAGCTCGGCCCCCTACGTGCGTGCCAACCCAAATCGTCGTACAACTGCTGCCAAGTATGGCCTACTACAAGCGGCACTGTGAGGATAGCGGCTTTTCAGTTCCTCGAAATACTAATACTATTGACGATGATAATTCGTTATAAAAATATGAAGTTTTGTTTTTTAATTTTCAATGTAGAAAACGACCATAATAAACATTTATCCAACGACTCAGGAAGACATTTCGCTAGCTTGTTCCTAACTTTCACCACGATTGTTATCTTAAGTGGAACAGGCCCAAGTCTTCAATCAGTGTTTATTTGGCTATTTTGTCTAATTTATTTTTTCCCCGCTTGTTTGCATGACGCTGTATCCTTTAGTAAAAATGAAATGAAACAATTTTCCATTGACATACAAATCTATTTAATCTGCTTCCACCTCTTATTGCATGGAGTTTATAGCAAAGCTATTTCATTTCAATGACAAAATAGTGTTGGGGAAATATCACCACTTACAGTTGCTCTCATCATGTTGGTCTTTGTTCAGCCGACATTCATTTCTGAACGCCGCGAATGTTTTGTCACGGAGCGTGGTAAGATCATCGCCGGCTGCAGCCTTGATCATGGCGCTACACATCTCTCCTCGTACAGGCAGTAAAAAGATTGCGATCTCCAACGAGATTTGAAAGAGTACGGCAAAGATAAGACGCCAACCCGTTCGGTGAAACATGCTTTTGTTTGACTCAAAACTCAGCAATCAAATTTAACAAGAATGATCAGGCTTCGGTATTTTGAGGGTAAATGTGCTTGATTTTGTTTCTACGTTTTGTTTCGTTTCCATGGTTGCTGTAATTTGTTTTTGCTGGCGTCACGAACGATGAATAAAGAAATTAATAACCATCTCAGAACGGATCGATATTTAATATTATTGAGCACAGTTCAGTACAATGGTGTACCCTGTCGTCTATTCAATATCTTCTTTGTGTTAATTCAAGCAAAAGATTAAGGTCGGCGCGAGCACGGGCATTTTAATTGACTGAGATAGACGTAAAAAGGGAACTTCATTCTTTGACTTGTTTTTCTCGCTTTCGTTTTAACCGTTCTTCTTTTTAGCATTATTGCATCTCAAATCCGCGTTTTACAATCAAGTACCAAGTATAGGCCTAATTATTGAGTTATTTAGTTTGTACATGGTATTTGATGTCACACAAACTTTGTTTATATGTTTTTAGGCCTACTAGTGTATTTAAATCAGTGACCTGACCTATGCGCTTTGTGTTTGACCGAGAGAGGACGCGTTTTCAGGCCGTGTCAGCACTACTTGGTAACGGCTGGAATTACAAATGCGTCTATAGACCCGTGTGCTCATGGGTGGCGATCCGAGGGGAGATGGGGCAGGTGGACATGTCGTCGCCGGGAACGCAGATGTTGTCCCGACCCCAATCATTTGTCCAAGGGCGTATAGATTTTAACCCAATGTACCTAACTTTGCACTGTGTTCTTCACCTCTTTGTGTTATAGCACTACGATATTGCTTGCCCACTATCCTTAATGACAAAATTAGTACATAAGGGGCGTATAAAATGCGCAAAATGAATACGATTGTATATTGTGTGCGTACATACATTTTTGAATAGCGCCCTCTATTTCTGATAATGTCCAGCCCCAGCCCCCCGCACATTTTTTAATTTACCAAGTTTCTGGTCCCTCGTCCCTTACCAACAGCCTCCCTCCCTCCCTCCCCGCCCCCGCCCCCGATATTGACCTCTGTCATTTACATAGGCGTAGCCAGGGGGAGGGGGTATTTAACCCCCCCCCAAGTATTTTGTAAAGACTGCCCTTTTCCATTCAAATGCCTTTTTTTTCACCAGCGCTTACCCCCCCCCTCAATATTTTTTAAGAGCTCCTTTCTTTTGTTAAAAAGCGCCTTTTTCCTGGGAAAAAACAGTTGCGCCCTTTTTTGTGCCATCGGCCGGTAGTACGGGTGCCTCTTTTTTTTTTTATTTCGCGCATGTATCCCCTAAAAGGCACCATACATTGTCCTTTTAGCGTGCATAATTGTTTGTTTTGAACAGCGCCCCTATCGACTGATTGTTCGGAAGTCCACACAGTGAATGTAATGCTTGTACACTAGCACACACACACACACTATTTGATTTTACGGAGGCCAAGTGTCCGGAGAAAAAAAAAGTGTCTACATTTTAGCACGGATATGCAAGTGCCCTTTTCAAAACGTTTAACCCCCCAATAAAAATGACCTTCCTATTCCCCTGAAGTAGGCCGAATTCGGACACAGTCTTACTTTGCAACAATATGCCATGAACATCGGCACAATTTCGATTCAGTTATTCGCGCGAGGACGAATCACGATCGTCCGTCGACGCTGGTGAAGGTCGCGTGAAAAAAAAAAAAAAAGGCACTCCTAATTTGTTTGGTGGTGGTCCCCTGTACACCCTGCAACGTCTATAAAAGGGGACCTGTCTTTGGTGTAAATAAGTCGCACGTAACACATTTCAAGCTGCTATGTTTTTTAATTTGTGGTTCAAGATTATAAAGGAGGAATATAATTTATCTGACGATTTGTTACGTACAGATTTCGTGATTTTTAATAACTAACACAATATTGACAAATACCAAACACAGCACAGAGTAGGTCTGTTTAATACTGACCTTTCATTAACTAAATTCCAGTCGTATAGTTGTGGATAACCCAGTTGGTTGGCAAACTAGGGTTGATTGTCATTTACATTAAAAACCGAAGTATCAGGTTATAGTCAAATACACTAACGATATAAATATTATAGTAGACATTTTCAACAACTAAAATTACATACCTTATAATACGATAATTTGGATGTATAAGACAAAAAGCAAATTTTGTAAGCACCATTGTTAATTGTGTAATATATAAGATGTCGAACATTGTTTTTAAGCAAACAAAAGATATGTGTGTTTTGTATATCTCTTTAAGCCTGAGCATTGTGGCGTGTCAACTTGACATTAATCCGTCTTTATTATAGTATATCTCCTTGTATGTCATTGCCTTTAATATACATACAGGTGGATTGTAAGTCTATCGACCATGCTACATTCCATTTGTTTACACACTGGATGATGTGATCAGGTGATGCAAAAAAACTTGGGTAAACTGTTCTCGTTAGCATTGCATGATTTATTCTTGAAATGTGATTGGTGGTGACATAAACATGTTAAATGTGGGCATAATACCATGCAAAAGATGCTCATATGTTTTGCTTACCCGTCGGTTGGTTGTAAGTGTGACGTCACATGACACATGGTCTATACGCTTTAAAACGTGTTACTACCTTTAAACTAGGGGCGCGTAAGGGGCTTATTTTCGCGACCCTAGCACGAGACAGGTTTGGGCTTTGGGCATTGGTTGAGCTTTGCCAAGACATCGTTTGTACCTGAATGACATCAGTGTTCTGACCTAACGAGAACCGGAGTTTGTGGCAGGTTCGTCATGGGTTCAAGATGACTGACTTTAGACAAGCAGACGATATTTTTGTCTTCACAACGAAAAGGAATCATGTTTTCTTAAATTTTGTAGACGGCAATCAAAGACCAGTTGGAAGTCTATTGTCTTATGGTGAGAAATGTGCCAGATTGTTCTTGTGTTCGGTGAAAATGAATGACACGATAAAAAAGACTGTCTTGTGACAGGATGGAAAAGAGCCTCACCCTACTTTGTTGCTAGTCTTTTGTAATGATTTTCTCCAGTTTCCTTACAGTGTAAATTCATTGAATTAATGTGACACTAATTAATTTGACAATCAGAAAACTCTAATGGCAGGTGTATAGTTATTTCCCTCACGTTTTCTGTCAAAATAATCTCGTTGTGAGCTGTCTTCCCTTCCGAAATAGTTAGCGTATAAAAAAATACATTCAGTTGTCCTAATGTATAGCCTAACTGTAATTTAAGTTTAGTAGGTGACATAAAGAAACAATTACGAAACCTCAAGATTAAACTATAAAAGCAGTACTAAAATTTAAAGGATGCCGATGTTTAAATGAACTTTAATTGATATTTTGATATTTCCCTGATAAGACTTTCAAGGCTTTCTTGATTTAAATCTCATTATCGAGAAGTTTTAAATGTATAATTTGAAGGCTGTTTTATGTTATTTTTGATAATTTAAGCGCCTGTAGTTTTAGCTACGAATTACATTCAAACAATCGAACAATGATTTTAAAAAAGTAAAACAAACACACTTTTTGATTTTACGGAGGCCAAGTTTACGAAGAAACAAACTCGTCTACATTTCAGCACTGATTTCCTGATTAAAAAAATCTGAAGGGCATAAACCCCCTTGCGAAAATTCCTGGATCCGCCCCTGTGGTGTTCAATTCACGATTCGTTGTGTTTTGTGACTCAATTCCACTTAAGTGAAAAAATTCATACGCAGAATGTTAAGTTTACCATACATTGTGTAGCAAAACCATCGGTTCTACTTCTCACTCGCAAAATTTGTAAAACACCCAGTCTCCGTTGGCTTTAGCCCATGAAGCGATACCAATACGTACTTGAGTTGCTACTCGCTGGTGATGTGCACCAGCATCCCACTCCAAGAAAGCCTCCTCCTGTCCTCCTTTACCGACCCTCACCACGCCCCCTTTGTAGTCGATCCAGAAGGGGCGGTATTCATTGGCGTCAACCAGACCTGCCTCATCGTGAGTAGCAACCGCGTCATGGCACTCGACATTATAGCAGGATCTCACAGCTGAGCGACGATTATTCTGACCTCCGATATCTAGTATAACCAAAAATTGTAAAAACTAAAATGTTCTTTCAGCTTCAAAAGATTACATAAATGCCCACAACCGAATCAACCTTTGATAGATGCAACGGTAACATTCAACTATCTCCACACTAAAACGTACCTTAAAATACCCTTAAATATTTAGTTGTTGTCCAGTGAAAGTTTATTCACAATGCGTTGGTGTAAGTGTTGGGTTTTTTTTGGGGGGGGGGGTGTGAGGGAAAGTTTTCCCGGAATAAAAATCCTGAAAATTGGTCAACAAGGGATCGGAGTTCAACGATTCACCTTCAGCTACTACATTTTAAAAAATACACGAGATTTCTATCCAGAGATTCAGACTAATCACTTACTCATCTCGGCAAAGATGGACCCATGTGTGGTGCTCTCTGCGAGGGCCAGTGAGGCACCTCTCTCGATCTTCACAGCGAAGTCCAACCGGAAAGGCATGCTGAGTGGCTTCAGGATGAACTTGAACGTGGGTGGTTTTGAAGCCACGGTGGAGAAAGAGCAAGCTGTTTTACCGAATCAAAATCAAATCATTCAATCACTTAGCTGGCGTAGTATATCTCGATTGGTACCAAGACGAGACGAGAGTGTGGTGCAATCATACGAGAGTTAAAGAGTACCTAAGCTCGGCCCCCTACGTGCGTGCCAACCCTAATCGTCGTAAAACTGCTGCCAAGTATGGCCTACTACAAGCGGCACTGTGAGGATAGCGGCTTTTCAGTTCCTCGAAATACTTATACTATTGACGATGATAATTCGTTATTAAAATATGAAGTTTTGTTTTTTTAATTTTCAATGTAGAAAACGACCATAATAAACATTTATCCAACGACTCAGGAAGACATTTTGC